TCGGGCCTCATGAAGCTCCCGACGGCACCATCACATATCAGTTGTTCAAGAAATTACATGAACTTTGGTATCTCACTTTCCTGGAGTAAACTATGCATTTCACTGTGCTTACCCCGGCCCGCAGTAGGATGTCCAAGAACACTTCAAGTTATAAACGTCTGAGTCCGAGACTCGGATGATACATGTATAGGGTTGGCAACTCCAAATGTACGTACAGACACGGCCATCCCTTCGGGCATTGCTTCCTTGCTTTAGCTTTCTTACCTCGCTCCACTGGCAGGAGTCCCGACTGAAACTAATCGTCCCCTGCTTGCGTTCTCGTGGCCGCGCCATTCAACATCGCCACTATCGCGATGCAGCACTGTGAGCCACCTAATTCTGCTCTGGACGCCGATGAGCCATGTTACTGGCCTACATGGTCTACCTCAAATTCCGCCGTTCTCGGAGGCGCGGGTATGCATCACAGGAGTAACGGGCCGTCGACCACTACGTTCAGTGCTCAGGATGCAGATGTTCAGACTCCGTGGCAAGCACGAACTGCTCACGCACCTGCGGAAGTCCAGCTTGCGCATCCAGTGCCTCGCAATGTAAGTCCCCTGTCCGCCGCACTGCAACTTGCGCTCTATTGAGCATGTCATCTACTGCCAGCCCAGGTCGATATATACTACCAATCAGCTAGAGGCGTTCAAGGATGTCGACTGCGTGGGGAACACCTTCGAAAGCCTCGATACGGATGCCGCAGCCGTCACCGCATTTGCGTCGCATGCATTGGTACGCTCCGTCCCGTGTTGCATCCAACGGTTCGGCCACACAGTCTTATTCAACGCTAGAATGGTACACAAATCGCGCTGCACGACATGAATAAGGCCGCCACCTATTTGAACCGGTTTCTGCATCAGGGAGATCAGGGTATGGAGCGAGCAGCAGGGAAATACCAGACATCCAGTGATATTGAGGTTCTTCTTTGTTCAGCTTTTCCCCCGATGTGAACGAGAACTCAACTCAGGTATCATGCTGCAGGGGAAGTTCCGCAGACAAGATAATCGCCACGGTCATGAAGGAATCGTAAGACTTTCTGGACAACCGGCATCCCATGTTTATTTTACTAACCCGCCCTAGCCCTCCAGAACTTTAACAATGATACCCGATGCTCGCCCGACACATCCCATCGATTCCTTTGCTTCTACTTGCAACGCCCCGGAATCCTCTCATCATTACACCACCCCGGCTGCTTATACGCCCGTCAACCAATCATATAGTTTTTACTCTACAACCTCGCCTGAGCAGCAACTACAAGCGCAGAATCTACCCCCTACAATCGTACAGCCGCAGCCCAGTCGACCACCCGTCTCAATGCCCCATTTTCGTTCTCAGTGTCCAGGACCTCCCGGGCTGCCACACTTTCTCTCCGACAACCATGATTACTCTGCTGATTGGAACGCTTCGCTGCACAACTCCAGCGGCTCGTCCGAACTAGGTGCCACTTACGCCACATCGTACTGTCTCCCTCCCTTGACGCACATCACCGGATTCGCTGACAGCCTCTCATCATGGGCACCTGAGGTCTATCCAATTACTACCACCAGTCACGCACACACCTTGTCCTGCGAGGATGCAGGGCGGAACGAGCCTCAGAGCTATGGGCAGAGTGTCCCGGCTTATACAGCCGCACATGACGCAAATCATCCTGCGACTGCCTGTCTCTTCTGCAGGGGGCGCAAGATTGCTTGTGGACGGCCGGTGGCCACGCCCGCTGGCGACTCCGATTATACGTGCTAGTGCGTTGCGTTGAGTTTTCTTCCGTGGTCGCCCAGAACAGATCTGACTGATGTGTGATTCGCTTGTGTTCTTCAGCCAGTGCCGCCGGAGAGGCCAAGTGTGCGTTTACCCGAAAAAGGATCTTCTGCGGCGGTAGAGCTTCAATTTCTAGGGGTATATATCAGCGACTGGGTTATCAAACCGTACAGCTATTTCTTCTTTAGTAATGTCATTATAATTACTCGGAGAGGCCCTTTTCCGTGAGAACGCTCTTTCTTTGGTCATGCGTTGACAAGCGAATGGAACAAGCGGGGGATACAAAGTCTAAATCCCCTTGGAACGGATACACATGATCAGCCTACTCAACACAAACGTAGATGAAGGCAGGGGGGGTCGTCATTATGAAACAGAAAAGGTTGAGTTGTTCGTGTAGACGTAATGAACGACGATCGTGAAGGTACTCGGGTACAGACAGGTATACTGGGATCAAGACAAATGCTAAGTCGTGAACAAACTTCATCTTTCCCGAGGCTTACTTGACAGGAAGAAGGAGATTAGTCCAGCAAGGGGGAGGAAGCTTGGCTACAGTGGACGAGAACGTGCTGCGTACCAACCAATACTGAAATCAAGCGCGTGCTGCGCGGCATCGACGCCTGTACGAAGGGCAAAGTGTTGAAACTGGATTGCACATTCATTCGGATCTCTGCCGTCAAGAGACGAACCCCAGAGAAGAGGAGAAAGGAACGAGAAACGCACTCGCTGGACTATCGTCATACGTCACTGTTGAGGCAATCCCGGTCTGCCCTCCCTGGGCGGACTTGAACTGCTCACGGTGGCGCTTGACGGCATGTGCGTGCGCGAGAATGAGGGAGTGTCCGATGCTGCAAAACGGCGGAAATAAGTTGAAGTTCCTGGGCAAAGGTAGGAAAAAGACATGGATGCGCAGGAACGACAGGGTGTGTGCGTACGGCTTCAACGAGCGAAATACCCTCAAAGGAAATGAGAGACAAGGGTAGGGACTCACATCCACGACTCATCGCCCTCCTCACTCTTTTCCCGATCGCTCGATCGACCCGGCGCGAAAACGCCGCGGCCGTACTCGAGGATGGCGACGCACCAAGGCTCGTTGATCGTGAGCTAGTTCTTGACGCGGGCACCAAAGGCCTGGAAGCAAACCTGGGGGAAGGAAGGAGCGTCAGTCACGGAGCAGGGCATAGTATGAGGTATGGAGCGGTAGGACGTTGGATTGGAATCACGATGAACGCACCTTTGCATAATTCGCATAATCCGTGACGATCTCATCAACCTCCATAGCGGTCGTGTAGTGCGTGTGGGAGGTCCCAGAGGTACAAGGTTCAAAACGCGGATTCCTGTCAGGCTCATTCTCCATCGTTCAACAGCTGCGCGTACTCACCACAATTCCCCTTGCCAGCAGACCATCAGTAAGCTCTGCACGCCCTTTTCATTCACCGGATCGTCCCTTCTACCGTTCGGGATGATTCGACTAGAGAAGCGATAGGCCTTGATGCATAATGCCGTACTGTTCTAGGAGGACCGAGTCGGTGTGGAGAAGGTTTTATTTGCCCAGATTTTTGCTCACTCTGAGTGATCCGGTGATGCATTTCGGAGTTCGTCCTAGTCCGTCCCCACCTTTTTGGAAAGTTTTGTCTCTTCCACCAACTAAGTTATGTACATATCCACTGCTTGCTTTGCCCATCTGGCACTCATCGCCCTTGAATCTCTTACCGGCCTTTGAACCTGTACAGTGAATGTGAATCTGTATGCCCCTCTACCACTGCGCATGCCCCCAACTTCGACACACATTGGAACGAAATGTTGTTGAGACCTTGAACATCATGATTCAATGCCTCCGTCAATGTATAGAGCCCTTGTAGCAAGGTGAGTGTCTCAGGTTTTCACTCGTGTACGTGCAATTAACCCCACGAAGTTCCTAATGGTGTAACCCATTCGCTCAATCAAATTGTTCATTCATATTCTCTCTTTGCATGTGGTACTGGGATGGCGAGCCGCAGCGCAGTGTGTCCAACGTGAGCATATCGCATCCTCATCAGCGCGCTTGAAGTCGACGCTCATCTCTGGTAGTCTCCCAAAGGCAGACGCGGAACTTCCTTAAACCTGTGGCAGTTCCACTCCTCCGAGATCATGAGCTCACATCGAGCGTGGGGTCGACGCGCTTCTTGGGCATTCATCACGTCTTCTTCACGCTGCCACTGTACGTCGCTGATACAGACCATTGCCTTGTGACCTCTTGGGAGCCCGGACACGCATTCTGGTCGATGCGCAGCAAGCGCCCTCGCATCACATGCAGTTGAGTTCATGTTCGCAACTGCCAATGCTCCCAGCCTCGTGCGATACGGATATCGTGTCCTTGTTGTGCCCTAGAGACGATAGTGTGCCACCATGCATATAAAATGTGCTGTAAAGCCCCACATTCTATTATCAGAACCCACTCCGCTTTCTAATCATGCTTGGTCGCTCGAGGTCGAGGCAAGAAAGTCAATGGGGGTGGTACCGACGCCAACGGCTCCTCTACTCAGTCTCTGCCCGACTCGCCCACGAATCGCACCCTCTTCGACACTAGCTACACTCGTCGGTGTAAGGAACTCATGGATCGGAACAGAGACCTCGCCCAACTTCACGACTTCTCTCATCATTCGGGATGCCGACTATTTGAACAAGACTTCGCCGCCACCTGATGGACATGCCATTGGCCTGGGTCATGTCAACCAAGCTATTGCAGAGTACGTATCGTGCCTTTCAATACCGTGTTATAAATAGTAACCTCGACCTCAGCTCCGTTGGATGGGAGCTCCAACAATAGTTAGCGGTCAATTGAATCCAGATCTATTCCCCAACCAAGGACACAGATGTGTCAAGCAACGTGGGCAGCGGTATTCTATTCTCAAAGTCGGCAAACAAATGAAAAAGACTTGCTGCGGGGTTTTTTTTGAATGATAAACTTCCTTGCCCAATGCCACCTCTTCGCCAACCTTTGCATCCTATTTGTTAATTTTCTTATTTCCTTCTCATTCCAGATCCTCCTTCAATTTGCAAGCCTTGAACTTCTTCTGGCTTTGACCACATGGTTCTACAAGTACGCAAATTCTTGCAACTTGCCCACTTCTCCCGTGCCACAGCAACACACTCGTGATCGCGATGTCTTCTCCTGCTCATTGGACCTGTTAACCAGTCTTTAATTGCCTGTTCTGTCCGCTCCATAAGGCCGTGTGGTCTAGTAGCATGATACCTCCTTCGGGTTCGAAACCCGGGCTTTACACAGCCCAGCATGGAGGTGGTCCTGGGTTCAATTCCCAGCTCGGCCCTTTTTGCTTCTTTCTCGGCGCTGTGTTGAAGAAGCCTCATTTCAATCGGGTCCCCTGCAAATACTTGGCAAATGCGTCTGAGGGTTTCAGTAGTGCTTGTTGTTGGGCTAAGAGCTTGGAAAGAAGGTTAAAATTCTCGGTGGTATGCATACGTCGGCACAGTTTATTTGAAAAACTGGGCATCAAATAACAAGACTGCTGAGGTTGCAGTCCTTTGAGCCGTGGTGGAGCTCCAATGAATCGTGAGGAGACATGGGCACTGGGCAGTATGATGTAAGAAAGGTGAAAGGTATCGAGATGTAAGGTGCCACTGCTGTGATGAGTTTGGAGCGCAGCAGCCCAGCTGACAGTAAGTAAGCAAGCTAGCATTATCTTAAGGCGGTGGAGATGGGTCATCCGTGGTCTGTCTCTCCTGGACCTCCCGAGGAAAGGTTCATTGAGCGTCATCAACGAAAGCCGTACATGCGTTGGCGCCCATATGCGAACGGCATTGGACGCAAGTGACACGCCGCAGAGATTCCAATACATCTCAGCAAAGGAGTCGAACCAGAGGTAGTAGGGTCTATCGGGTCCGGCGTGTGTGTAGGCGGCGGGAACGCAACGTTGCATAAGTCGTGTCCCAGACATTTGCAGAAGTTGTGAGATTCAGTGGTTCATTTACACCGTCGCATTTCAATGTTGCGTTGTGGTGGGTCTGCGTCGATAACAGGTGCCCACTAAGCATGGTTTAGCGATGGCGCACGCCGTTCAATCAAGTTGTGACGCATTGGCTGTGGGTTGAGCACCCGGAGCCAGCCAAATCCACATTGGAAAGCCCGGGTTGCCGTTCGGAACGTCGAGGACAGAGGGGGATGCGCAACAGGGTACATCGGGGAGGTGACGACAAGGGTTGCGGGGCTGAAGCTGAGGGCGGATGGAGAAGGTTGCGAAATGGGGCAACGACGGTAGTACATTGCATCAGTAAGGCGACGGGAGCGTAGCGGCTGACATGGACGAAACACGGCGACATCGCGGGCACGAGCAGCGTCAAGATGATGTGAGAATCAGAATAAACCGTGGCCCGGTGTAGTCCGAGTCAGATTCGCGCAGGAAAAACAGAGACTAGTAAGGGCGTACACTTTCATGACTGTTCGTGATCACAGGGCCTAAAGTCCATTCACCCCGCAGTTCTTCATGGATCCGAGCTCTGCGATCCTATTCCCAATCGATGCATAGGAAATTCCATCCAAGGCCGGGCGAACTGAGCATGTCGAGAACGACGGAGAGTCCGAATACAAGGACTTCAAGGCGCCGTCAGGAGGTGGAGAACTGAGGTTACCCTCACCAACATAAACTTTTGGTCAAAGCCAAAAACCTCAAGCTTGCGAACTGCCGGAAGACAGCTGCAACGGAGAGAGATTCGAGGAAAGAGAGGTGAAGACGTCATCAAGGTCGTCAAGAGCTGACGGCCGCACAGCCACTGATGTTGATCATTACAACAATACGTCGACAACGGCCATACTCTACATTCCGATTGTCAATCTGACTCTACTCTCCGCTCACCGAACGTTTTTCATTCAGTTAATCGATTCCTGGGCCCGGAGATACCAGCGCCAATCGGACCATGAGCACAGCTTGGAGATGGCGCTAGATAAGCATCTCGAGGTTTCACCGTCTGTCTTGCTCGTGCCTGCGTTAACCACGCTTTCCCTGTCCGCAGCTGAGGTCCAGTGAGCCACGGATGACCCATAGTGGCGTTCATTGATACGTCTCTCTTCAAACCTTACGATGAGCTACACCATGCTCTTGCTCCCTTGCCAAGCTCCAAATCCTTACGCTCACGCGACGAGTACAGACCCAGCATGGCGGATCGCCCGCTTCTCATCGTGTCACGGCTCGAGACTCAAGACATCGAAGGCAGTCAATGATCACTAACTCGCGCTGACAACAACGGACACGGACTCAGCATGGTGCGCTACTCGCCTGCCTTTCCGCAGCTTGCCGAGTGCAATGCTTGGCATTCTAGCTTATTGCACTCCAGAATCATGCGTGAGCTCGTCATGAATCACTTGCACGTCGCGTCAGTGATAGACGACAGCGACCGTATCCACAACTGTCCGTTTTTGGTAATCTGCGGCGTAGGAGGTGAGTATGCACTATTAACGATGATGAGCCCATATTTCAAGCTGGCTGCTTGGCACCGTCATTTTTTTTGAACCCACACATAGCCAGGATATTTCCTTCCATTGCATCACTCAACATGGAGGGCTTCTGTCTGATAATACGTTGCCCGTGGATGAGCGCTCAACTCTACTAGGTCTCATGTAACGCAATTGACGATATTCGCTCGCGACTGTTGCGCGTCCTCACGCGTCATCTCGAGGTCATGCTACGCTGGTACTTACGGCCACTCAGCGC